GAGAGAGNGNGGAGAGAGAGAGAGAGAGAGAGAGAGATACAAAGAGAGAAGCGCGCATCGTGCGTTCCATGCGTGTTTTTATCTTGTGCAAGTTGGAAGGATGTTGGAAACGAGGATACATTTCCCTGGGTACCGGCACAAATTCAAGAAAAATGGAGAAAGAGAGAAGAAATTGTACGTTTTTGATTATATATACATGAAACACTGAGGGAAGAGGTTTTACAAATCCCTAAAACACTCTCCTCCTTCTCTTCCCCCAGGGATCGATTTCTCCGTAGAAGGTTCTTTAAATTCGTTTGCATGTTATATTTGAAATCGCTCAACATCGTGTTGAACTAGCGGATTAAAAATCTTGAAGGAAAATTGATGAAGAGGATCATGATTCGAAGAATTTTTTTAAAACGTTCAAAGATCAAAGAAGAAATTGTCTTTTCTCATAGAATTCAAAGATACAAATAGAGAGAAGATGATATTTATAAATTTGAAAGTTTTCCTATCCTGAAAATTTATTTCTAATGAAATATTTGCGAAGAGATACAAATAAATAAAGGAAATATAAGATTAATTGTTCAAGAATGATTTTAATCACAAGTTATAAATTAAGAGTGTAATTTCTATTTAGAAAAATTCCAGATTGATTTTTCGAAGATCTTTTTTTCCCATGGTGATTTTTAATTTTAAAGAAAGTATTTTTAACGATATATGGAAGACACTGATAGAAAATAATGTATAGAATGCGAGGAAAAAATCGAAGAAAATAAATTTCAATAATCTGGGGGATTCGATCGTGGGACCAACTCGATCAAAAGCGAACATTTTTCCCATTTAGCCACGAGAACAACAGCAAATACTTTCTTTTTCTTCATATATAATGATCACGGAATATTAATCAATTTTTAGATATTATTTAATTAATTTATATTAAAACTTTTGGAACTATTTTGAAATTCCTTATTGGATTATACCTTTAAAGTTATTTTTTATTGTATTATTTCTGATTAATCTTTTTATTCGGATCTCGTTATTTTATTTTATTCTTTTTATCAAAAAAGTGAAAAACTTTCCATCCTCGATTCTTGTTTAGCCACGATCACCGACAAATGCATGAATTGTAGAAAGGACTTACCGAGGAAGGCTTTCATTAAAATCGGCTTCCTGGTCAGGATAATCCAGCGACGATCGGGCAAGAAGACTGTCGGCATTAAATTTTTTCTGTGGCCAGAAATCTAGAAAAAAAAAAAAGGAAAAAAGGTTAAAAGATCCGATTAAATTCGACTCTTTTTATCGATTCAAATGCCATTCTTCGTTTGAAGGATCCTCGGCTAAAGTCGTTCAACTTTAATTACCACAATTTCGATTTCCCGTAAATTTCATTACAATCCTCAAGCACCAACCTATATTCATAATTGTATCGTAATTGGATTAAACCAGTTTCAAGTATTTCTCATTTACATACTTCGTTTCGTTTCATTTTCTGATATTTTTTAACCTATCTCTATCTCATCAAATTTGTAATTTCACCCTCGTTCATTATTCCATTCCATTCCAAACTCTATACATTTTACAAACTAATTGGCACGCTAAACGGTTTTCAGAGAGTTTTCTAAAAATTTTCTCGGAATCATTATTTATTAGAAAACTTTGTGATACACAATTTGTAACGCAAAAATAAATTAATAAAACAAAATAACCAATCGTCAGAAGGTGATCTAATTTAAAAAAAAAAAAAACAATTAATATATAATATAAATATATATAATATATAAATTTCGCGAGGAATTCTCGGGGCAATTTCAACGAAGGAAGAAAATAAAAATAAAAATGGAACGGCTTAGAGAAAACGAAGTTAATTAAATCTGCCAACCTCCTCGATCTTCGATCATCAACCGCGATAAAACGGCCGCCATTGCAACCACTACCACTCCTCCTGCTCGTTCGTGACTCTCTCCTGGCCCCCGAAGTCATCGCGGAACAATGATTTTCTATTCTGGTTAGCCACTTCGACCGAGTCGAAGGACGGTGGAGTGCTACTTCCGTAGGCAGTTTCTTAAAGAGGGAAACTAATTGGTTATAAAATGGCCTCCCACGGAGCGGCCTTGCAAAGTCGCGTGTTAAGCATCCTCGATTCGCCAACCCCTTCTCTCGCACGATATCCCCTGTGCAAGAAGGGGTGGCGTGTCGAAGAACGGTTTAAAGTGCGGCCAGATCCGCCATTTTAACAGATTAAATTTTTTACGCAACTTCAGGCAGAATCCCTCTTAAGTGATATAGTCATCTTACGAGACGAAGACGAAAGACGTAGTTTGAAAGGTATTTAGGTGAGCTAGTGATTGTTTTTCAAATTAACTAATTGTGTGATTTCTATATCAGAGAAAATGAAATGTTTAAAAATGACGAAGATTAGGATTCCGAGGTTTATCTGTTTACTGCTCGAGTCTATTCAACGATGAAATTGGATTAAAGAAAAGGGAGTCGGCCAATTGTCTTCCCGTTCTTTTTATTCTTCTTCGTGGAATTAAAACTGCTTCAATTTATGCACGGATGGGAAAATTGTTTGGAAAGTTTCGGTTTCGTATCCCCTGTTTAACTTGGTAACGAGAATATAACCTTTTCTTGGAACAAATTAACTTTAATCCGTAATCAGAAGTATATTTGGTTTTTCATTTTCTGTAATGTAACGAAATCTTTGCAAATACTATATATATATATATATAATGTACGAATTGTTATAAATTATCGTCTAAGTCATCTGCAAACATGACAAAGTTATTTTACTACCTTTACAATATTTTATCACAATTTTCATTGATTCAAATAAAAATATTTTATATCTGAATAATTCGTGTTTCCATTCCCTTTAAAATAAAAACACGATATTCGAAATAACGAGGAAATAAAAATTCTGATCAACTCGTATCGAGACTCGAAAATGAGAGAAGGTAAAAATCGAAGTGAAAGAGACTTCAGGACTTTTGGTCCGCCATCTTGCCCCCAAGATCCTCGATCTCGACTCTGTGAGACAATCGGTATCGACAACACGTAAAATATTTATCGAACGTCATCGGGCGAACGACAAACAAGGAAAACGGAAATTGGAGAGGAAATAGACGGAGTCGGTTTGAGAGGCGAGGTGGATCAAAAGACACGTTCTGTAAACTCTTTCCTCTGGAACGCCGTGCCGACGTTCTTGTAAATTAGAGACGGTCCCAAACGATAGTTCCACTCACCGTGGAATTTTCAATCATTTTTCCCGCGCTCTGATCACGTTCACGCGTGTACATAGTACATCTAATGCCATAAAAGAGAATTATGTATATGTATGAATTATGGAGATCAAGTCTTTTTTATCCCTGTGAATGGAGTGGGCTAAAATGGGATATCGAGATATTTTTACAAAAAAAAAAAAAAAAATCAAAAGAGAATTACGTTGAATCATGGAGATCGAGTTTATTCGAGTGGGAATAAAATTTCTATTTTTAACGGAAGATAAAGAATAAAAATTCTTGGAGGGAATATTTGTATTAATAATATATTATTCGTTAATGTTGGTTTTTAAATATTATTTATATTTTTTAATGTATTTTCAAAATACGTTTACATATTGTTTTGCATAAAGACGAGTATTTAAATTTGTTTAATTAAAATTAATATCAATAAAATTATATCGAAGAAGATGGATTAAATTTAATATTACGAATTCAAGTATCAAATACAGCTACATAGATGATTCTAATATAACGATATCACTATTAATTAAGAATTTTGTGATTAATAGATGCAATAGGCAATTTCAAAAGCAATTTTAGCTAACTAACTTGTGCATCTGTCTTGTGCAATTTCGATCGAATAATAATTAACAATTGAAAAAGAACATTTCTTTTTTTCAATTATATACAATTTTATTTTCACCAATAAAACGAATCAACAATGATAATAATCATTCAATAATTATTATCATACCTATTTTCTGATTAAATTTTTTAACTACAGTAAAACAATCATCTGATCTGATTTATCCGATCAAGTATCAATCCCTAATTAACATAATTATTCCAAGGTACTGGAAACAATCTCACCAGTTCAGAAACTGCATTCGGTTCCTCCAAATTTCATCAATTTACTTAATCCCCCTTCCTCGAGTTCTCCAGTTGACCAAAATTTAATTCAAAGGAAACTGATGGCAAGGTAAGCTATGAAAGAAGCAAAAAGAAACAAGCTACTAAGAAGAATAACGAGACGAATTATACTATCAACAATTTGTCAATCTGTTCTGAATTTTCGATTCTTCTCTCGTTCTCAATCATTTAAAAAGAAAAATTTAAAAAGAAGATCAAGAAATGTATCAGACACATACAAAATATTTAACATTCAATAATATATCTAGAATCATCAACTCTCCAAAGAAGAGACATCTATCACACAAGCGCCATAAAAGTCAAACACCAACAACTTCGACGAAAATTCAAGAGAGAAGAAAAAATCGATTCTAATTTCATTCGTCACACATTACAGCCAAATGTCACGGTCTCAATGAGAATCGTAGGCGGGACTTGATGACTCGTCGAAAGAAAAATATATTTCACACCTTCTGCCAACATTTTCCCCCCTAATTTATTAACTTCGCCCCCAAAAGGTCGCTGCACGTGTACAGGCGTGGGAGAGGATTCCTCCCCCTTGCTCCATTGGGATGTGCTGCTCCGGAAGAGATCTTAAGAGATGGGGTTAAGTAGAATCGTTTTGGAGGTTATGGCTCGAATTATTCGACCATGGAATCATTGGTTGAATCGTGGGATTGTTTGCGGATAGGTGATTTTTGGAATTTGGAATTTTGGGGGTGAGAGAGATTTTTGGTCGATGGATATGATTATTTGTGGACAAATTGTAGAAGCCTTTGAAATTTGGAACTTTAGGATAACTTGGTCCATTGATTTTTGATAGATTCTGATGTGGAAACTTTGGAATTTTAAAGATGGAGGATTCGGTGAATTAGATTAGAATTGTAGATAAATTGTCGAATTTTTGGAGGTTGAAATTTTGTACGAGATAGATGTTAGTGATGTGATTAATTAGGATAGAAAGTTTTTTAATAAATAAGGATGTGGGTGTGTGCACGAAGCATGGAATTGTAGGTAAATTATTGAAACTTTGAAACTTTAAACGTTAGAGATGAATAATGTGAGCTTTGGTTCGTTATAGGAAGATTTTCGACAGATCCTCTTGATCCTCAGAATGAAATAATGTAGATTAATTATTAAAACTTTGAAATTTGGAATTTTGGGAATAGATATTTAATCGATCAAACGTTGTGGAATTTTAAAGATTATTATAAGAATATTATATTTTTGTTTGATTGAAAAGATTTTCAAATTTTTAAAATGGCATTATATGTGGACAGTGAGATTTGAAATAAATTATTGATATTCAGAATTTTAATTTATTATGACATTAATTTAATTAGAATGAAAAGATTATTATGCGGACAGATGATTTGTAATTTTGAAAATAATTATTATAAGATGTTTCTATTATATTCAAAGTAGAATTATTCTTTTTCTTGATGCAAATTTAAATTATAGAATTGCATATAAATTATTGAAATTTAAAAATTCCGAATTTTACGGATGATCATTTTATTTTATTATTTAATTAACCATTTTTAAATTTGAAAATTTAGAGATGATTATCACTTGTTTAATAAAGGATAAAATGACTTTTCAATATCGATAAATTACTTAGCCATAAAAAAAATGACGAATCAAAAATATTATAGTTTCCTCGTTATTTGCTATCGTGTATCGGATGTACTAATATACCATAAACCCTCATATACAGTAATATGTTTGCAGATATTATATTACAATGTTTACTTACAATTATAATTGGAATATAACTCCATGAGATTGTTTGAGGATAAACTATTTGGAAATTTGGAACATTGGGGGTGATTATAATTGGGTTTGGCCAATTAGGATAGATAAATAATATAGACATTGCTACGATTGAATGAATATTATTTATCAACCCATGATCTAAATAAAAAGAAATAAACAATACTTAATAATTTATCAAAATTATTAAAATTCGTTCAAAAATCCTTTTTATACGAGATACAAAAATTCATTAATTACAAATATAATTATAAATAATTAATAATAATCATCACACACATTTATATACGTGTAAATTTATCTCCAATTTTAAAAACTAGCCATTCGTTAAAGTTAAC